GCTCAGGTGCGGTCTGCGGGCCAGTGGCTGTGACCTGTGTGGAGTCCCTCCGTTTGGCTCAGAGACAGGACTGCAGCCCGGTGCTGCCTGCCTGCTGAGCTCATTGGTATCTGCACCGCTCTGCCCACACACTGCTCCCTCCGCCCCCTCCACTCCCCTCTCACACCCCAACCTCCCCTGCAGGCCCGCTCTGCAGCGATCCCAGTGCCCTGTCCGGGGCCCTTAGGAGTGTGGTTTTGCGTGGGTCACGTGGCTCTGGCAGCCCTGGGCTGGGCTCCTGTTGACGGGGTCCGTGGTGGGGTCGGGGGCCCAGCTGAAGGGAGTTCACACAAAGCACAAGCTTCCAGTGGGCAGACCCGCAGCCGGTGGCATCCTTTGCTTGGCCGCATCCAGGCTCATGAGGCGGGGGGGCGGGGGGGGGAGAGGGGGGGTCATGCACCCCACAGCACAGCCGAGGAAATGGGGCCTCAGGGGTGGCCCCGGCCAGGTGCTGCCACACCCACAGCTCACACTCCTCGAGCTCCAGGTCTGTGCCTGCATTTGACTCATTTTTAAAATATATATATTTTTAATTGATTTCAGAGAGGAAGGGAGAGGGATAGAGAGATAGAAACATCAGCGATGAGAGAGAATCATTGGTCGGCTGCCTCCTTGAACACCCCACACCAGGGATCAGGCCCGCAACCTGGGCATGGGCCCTTGACCAGGAATCGAACCGTGACCTCCTGGTTCACAGATTGACGCTCAACCACTGAGCCACGCCGGCCGGGCCCATCCTTTCTCTTGGAGGCCGCTCTTGGGCACTGCCGGGGTGGGTAGGATCCGCCTCTAGAAGGGCTCAGGAATCTGGAGAAGGGGCTGCAAGTAAATTAAATAAACGAGATATGAAATATAAGTTTGGAAGGCATTTTTCGGGGGAGCCAGGGAAGGCTTAGCTTTAGTAACTAAGTTCTCTGAATCCCGGGACCCCTTAGCTTTTTTATTAATACATTTTGCCCTATAGCAAAGCGGATACACATACCCAAGGTAAGGTTTGGTAGGCAGTAAGATTGTCAGGTTGGGGACCTGCCCTCGGCTGTCAGGCAGCAGGCGATCATAGATGCAGATCTTCAGGTTTGGGGAAATGCTTTCGGCTATTGCAGCAGCAGGTAATAGGACAGCCCTGCTGAAGCCCCCAGGCCCACCAACCTTTTGATGAGCTTCTTGCATTTATCATGCCCTGCTGGGATGAGTGAGTTCTCTGGGATCAGCCTGCACACGCCCACCGGATCTCTCCCCTGAGAAGCCCCGCTGGCCACACGGCCTCCTGAGCGCATCCTCTCGCTCTCCCTTCCAGAATCAGAGGCGCCGCCATGCAGCTCCGCCTGCTCCTCTGCCTGGTGCTCTTCAGCCCGCAGGGCTCCAGTCTCCACCACCAGCACTCCTGGCGGACCAAGAAGAGGGTCAGGGAGCTGCCACCCACTGCCACGGCCACTGCCACGGCCACCGCCACGGCCGCCCCCGCCACGGCCGCCCCCGCTCACAGGAACTTCACCTTCGACCTCTTCAGGGCCTTGGTGGCCGCCAACCCCAACCAGAACATCATCTTCTCTCCCCTGAGCATCTCCATGCCGCTGGCCATGATCTCCCTGGGGGCACGGGCCAGCACGAAGGAACAGATCCTGGAGGGGCTGGGCCTCAGCGCCCAGGGGGGCCCCGAGGAGGACGAACTCCACCATGGCTTCCACCGGCTGCTGCAGGAGCAGCGCCGGCCCCGGGAGGACCTGCAGCTGAGCCTGGGCAACGTGCTGTTCATCAGGCCCGCGGTGCCCGTCCGGGACGCCTTCCTGAGCGCCATGAGGACGCTGTACCTGGCAGACGCCGTCCCCACCAACTTCAAGGACCCCGAAGCGGCCCAAAAGCAGATCAACGATTACGTGGCAAAGGAAACGAAAGGCAAGATCGTGGACCTGGTGAAGGACTTGGACAGCTCCGAGGTCATGGTCATGGTGAGCTACATCTTCTTTAAAGGTAAGGCCCTCGGGCTCCAACCTGAGCTTCCTCTTTCTGTTCAGCTGCTTTTCTTAAAAGAAGGCTCCAGCCCTGGCTGGTTTAGCTCCGTGGATGGAGTGTCGGCCTGCGGACCAAAAGGTCCCAGGTTCGATTCCGGTCAAGGGCACGTACCTCGGTTGCAGGCTCCTCCCCGGCCCAGGCCCTGGTCGGGGCTCATGCAGGAGGCAACCAATTGATGTGTTTCTCTCACATCGATGTCTCTCTCTGTCTCTCCCTCTCTCTTCCACGCTCCCTAAAAGTCAAGGGGAAAATATCCTTGGGTGAAGGTTAACAGAAAAACAAGCAAAGAGAACGCTCCATCCCGCCCACACAGAGGGTGGGCGTAGGTCCGTCCTTCCGGTGCCTGTGGGGGGAGCGCAGCGGCCGGCAGCCGTGGGCCTCTGACTGTAGGGGTGCTCATGACCCGGCGCCGTTTTCTCTGCTGGGGAAGAGCTCTTCCTGTCTGGGGGCCCATGGGGACCCCTGAAGTCACAGCCGCTGAAGCGTGAGTGGGTCGTGGCCACGGTGCAAGAGAAACGGATCCCTGGCTACGCGGGGCAGGACCGCGGGCCTGGGCAGGGCTTAGAGGGCCTCCCCAGGCCACTCCTGTAGCCCCTGATCCTCACGGCCCTATAGGGGCTCCTTCCTTTGCCAAGAAATCCCGGGACAAGAGCCTGCTCCTCTGGAGTCTCCCCCTCCCCGAGAGCGAAGCCCCAGCCTCAGCCCTGACAATTCTCACGGGTTCCTCCCATCTCAGCTCCCACTCCCCGTCCCCCCCCCCCCACCCCCGCTTCTAAACCAGCCATTTCCAGCTGCTGGGCCTCAAGAATGTTTAGCACATGCAGCCCCTGGTACCCAGTCAGGGCACAGACCTCTTCCCCCTTCGAGTGTCAAATAAAAAATGACAACGGCCAACACAGCAACAGCCGTCCGCTGCGAGTGCATCAAAACGGTACTTTTGTTTGCTGGGTCAGATCGGCAGCATTACGTTTTCCTTGGTGAGCCGAGTGTGAGTCACTGGTGTGTGTGCCCGTGAGGTGCCCTGGGTGGGGCTGGCTGAGGGCGGGAGGGAGAGAGGAAGAGGGGAGAGGAGGAGAGGGAAGGGGAGGGCAGGGAACGGAGGGGAGAGGGGAAGGGAGAAAAGGAGTTAATGTGAGTACCTCCCCCTTCCTGTGGCCACGGAGAGTGGGTATCGAGCTTGGAGTCTAAGCTTGTCCCCCGCCCGGGGCCATTCCATTCCGACAGGACGCAGAGGACACCTGTGAACTGAACGAAGGGGAGCTGGGGTGGGGGCCACATTGGATAACTGGGAAGAAGGTGCCCATAACTATTTGTGTCACTCTGATCACCCGCCCCCCCCTCTGCTCCCCAGGAAGCAGACTGAGCAGGAGCTAAGGGAGGACTTCCCAGTAGGAAACCTTACAAACCTTCGCCCCAAACTTCGATGCACAGCTAATGTCGGGGAAAGAGAGAAATGGAATGTGTAGCTAGAGCATGGCCTCACCAGCCGGCCTCCCTTCTCCCCTCTCTCCTTGGGCATTTGACCTTCAGCTGCATCGGAGAATCAAGCGAACATTAGGGGTCTGAGGGCCCCTGAGGACGCGAACACTGATTCCTTGTGTTGCAGATGTCGCAAAAGCCCCATGGAAAGCTCAAGCCCCCAGATAATAAAGGGGCGCAGGGGGCTCGGCAGCCACTGCTACCGACCAGGTGGCTCTAACGGGGTGATCTCTGGTGAAGGGGCTCCTTGTCCGCGCTTTTACCGGCGGCTGAGAATTCCCGTTTCTGTCCGCTTGCCTCTAGCCAAGTGGGAGACTCGCTTCGACCCCCAAAGCACCCTCAAGCAGGACTTCCACGTGACCCCGGAGACAGTGGTGCAGGTGCCCATGATGAAGCGGGAGGACGAGTATGACTACCTCCTGGACCGGAGACTCTCCTGCAGGGTCGTGGGGCTCCCCTACCAGGGCAACGCCACGGCCCTCTTCATTCTCCCCAGCGAGGGCCGGATGCATAAGGCGGAGGCCGGCCTGGACCAGGAGACCCTGACCAAGTGGTTCAAAAAGTTCACAAAGAGGTATCTTCAGAGGGCACTGGGCCAGCCTAGCCCTGCTCCCCACCAGGGAGACCGTGTCCCCTGGGGCCACCACCAGGGGGCGAAGGACTCACCCAGCCCAGGAGCTGCCTCCGAGCCCAGAGGCATCAGGGGAGTCCCGGCCCCGGGGCCTAGCGGGGATGCAGGGTTGGGGCTGGACGCCTGATTTCCTGGCGGTGCCGTCGGAGTGGGCAGTGAGCTCCGGGCTGTCCAGTCCGAGTCCAGAGCGGCACGGACTCTCCCTAGGCCAGGGGCTGAGGGTCATGTGGAGCTGCGGGGAGATGGTGGGGATGGGAGCTGAGACCCGGTGCTCTGGAAGAGTCTAGAAAGGTCCTCTTCTCTTTCCAGGAAGCTCCAGCTTTACCTTCCCAAGTTCTCCATCGAGGGATCCTACCAGCTGGAGAAGATCCTCCCCAAGCTGGGCATCCGGGACCTCTTCACCTCCCACGCCGACCTAGGCGGGCTCACCAACCACTCCAACATCCAGGTGTCTGAGGTGAGCAGGGGGTCCTAGCATCTGCTTCCAGAGACATTCTATTCTTTCTGTTCTGTTCTATTCTATTCTATTCTATTCTACTGGTATTCTATTCCTATTCTGTTCTATTCTATTCTATTTTACTGGTATTCTATTCCTATTCTGTTCTATTCTTTTTGTTCTATTGTACCTTATTCTACTCTGCTTCTATTCTATTCTATTCTATTCTATTCTATTCTATTCTATTCTATTCTATTCTATTCTATTCTATTCTATTCCATCTCATCCCATTCCATCCCATCCTATTCCCTTCCACTCCACATTCCGTATTCTTTCTCTCTCCTCTTTTTCTTCAAGAAGCCAAGTTTCAGTGTCTCATACCCTCCGTGCAATGAGAAGCCACACCCAGCACTGCCTCGGGGGAAGGAGCCCTGGATTAAACCATCAAAACTCAAAACCAGGTGGCAACTCCTCCCCTCATTAGCTGTGTGGCCTCCAACGATGACCTGACCTCGCCGAGCCCCCTCTCCCTCTGTGAAGTCAGAGCGTCCACCCCCCCCCGCTGCGAGACGCCGGGAGAATTCGCTGAAACACGCGAGTGCACCTAGGCCTGGCGCACAGCGGCTGCGCCATCGCGTCGCTTCCCACCTGCTCTCAGGCTCGGTTGTGCGGAGCCTCGGACAGGGACGCCACGGGCGGCGCTTTGCCCTCGGGCCGGCCTCTCCCAGCCCCATGAGCTGGTGTGTGTTGTCTCCCTGCAGATGGTGCACAAAGCCGTGGTGGAGGTGGACGAGTCGGGGACCCAAGCGGCTGCAGCCACGGGCATGGTGTTGGGGTTCCGGTCGGCTCGAATGGGCGCTCAGGTGGTGGTGTTCAACAGGCCGTTCCTGATGGCGATCGTGAACCCGGAGGGCGTCCTCTTCCTCGGCAAGGTGGCCCGCCCCGCGGAGGGGCACTTCTGAGCCCCGGCCTCCCCAGCGGAGATGCGGGCGCTCTGCGGCCATCGCCTGCGGAGACCTAGTGAGACGCGCAGGCTTAGTGACGAGTGAGACTTTAGCGAGTAACAGTAGCAGCACCGACCACCAGGACGGCTTCCTCCCACACCAGGTGAGGCCAGGCGCCTGGGAGAGGCTGGAGGACACGCGGTCACGCCCTCACCGCTCACCAGTGGCGATTCGCACTGAGGCCCCGAGAGCTGGATCGACTTGTCCAAGGCCACACGGCAGGTCAGAAGCCCAGGACCCGGCCCCTGATTCCCAGCCCAGCGCCACCGGCTCCCCAGGAAGGTGGTTCCAGTAGACATTCCGCCAGGAAGCATGTGTCCAAGCCCCGCCCCCCTTCCCCGTCAGCAACACCAGCCGTCAATTCTGATGGTTGAGTGGGGGCACCCGAGTGGAGTCTGCCGTGGGCGCTGTCCCGGCTCACCGGCTGTGTGACGTTGGCTCATGCCTTCCCCCTCTGGACTCTGGTTTCTCCACGGATGCACTGAGGGCTCAGGCCAAGGATAGAAGGTTCCTGAAATCAGGTAAAAAGCCTGGAGTGTCACCTGCCAGTCACAGCTGATATCACCGCTCATCCTCTGAGAAAAGCGAGGGGACCGCGGGGTGGAAATGGCCCGCCCGGGGCGTACCATCCTGCGGGGGAAGTTACAGTCCCGTGGGCGTGGCTGGCGGCGGGAGCATGGAGGCCGGGTGCCAACAGCGGCTGTTGTTTGGAGACACTGCTGACTGGGTGTGGACTGTAGTGCCAGGCAGAGCAATAAAGCATTTGCAGACACCGGTGTCTTGTCCTGCGGAAGCAGCTCTGGGAATGGTGGCAGAACCAGCTCGTCTGGTGAGGTGATAGCCTCCCTCCACAACATCCCCTACGAAGGGCGTATTATCCCCATTTTACAGACGGGGATGGCGAGGCTTGCCGAGAGCAGGGGCTTACCCAGCACACAGCTCCTAGGGGGTGGCGGCGGGGTCTGCCTGAGTCGTGGCCCCGGCCTCACCGTCAGCGCTGCGCTCCATGTAGAGCAGACGTGAGCGGGAAGCAGAAGCCCGAGTCAGGCGCACCTGGGCCATGAGCTCCCCCATGACCCAGACAGCCACACTCTCCTTTACAAAACCCACCCATTTCCCTGTCCATCGCCTTAAAGGGCCCGTGGATGAATAAACAAACGCTCATTTGCTCAGTCTCACTGTCCCCTGCACTCGCTGCCCCCAGCTCTGCCCCCACCCCCAGAGTCTGCGCACCCTGCCCTGCAGGCATGCCCTGGGCTTGCTCTCCGGGGGCTGACTCCCCACGCTGACCCCGGGTCTGGACTGCATCACAGAAGGGTGCCCCTTAGAACTAGCGAAGTTGGAACCCCATGCTTTGACCATTCCCCACAGCCCTAAGCACCTACTCTTGCCAGCCAGAGGGGACACTGTATCTGTGATCGACCTCATTAATCCCCGACCAACCCAGCCGGCTTGTACCCATTTCACAGAGGGGAACCTAATGCTTGCCCAGAGCCCGCAGCTGATGACAGTGCGAGGCCCCGGCTCTGGGACCCAGATGGCACGTGTTGGCTGGTGGCAGGGCAGATGGCTGCACCCCAACCAGACAGCTTGTCTGCATCTGTGATTCGAGCTCAGGACTGGGCCTCCTCGCGGGGCCAGAGCCGCCCCTGTGTGCGTTTCCCTTGCGAAATGCCTCATCTGCTTCGGCAAACATTTCTCCGTTGTTGACCCAGCCAGTCCAAGGTCGGGAGGCTTTGCCCTGTGGCATGTGGAAGCCAAGGCCCAGCTCTGTCTGACCTTTCCTGGGCAAATGGTGGCAAAGCAGCCACTGTGTGCGCGACTGGGGTGGGTGGGCTCTGGGTGCCAACGCGGGAGCCCCGGCTGCGTGGCACGCCCTCCAGCGCCCCCTGAGGGTCCTGGCGGGCTGTGTAACTCCATTGTCACATGATTCTGGGGTGAACAAAATCATATAGCAGCCCAGAGAGAAAGACAGAGAGGCAGAGAGAGACGGAAAGAACTTCTGGGGTTCGGGAAAACGTTGGCGGAAGAGGTGGCAGGAGCTGCCCTGAAGAATACGTGGGACCTCGACAGACAGTTTGGGAGCAGGAAGGGGCTTCGAGGCCCAGGGAACGGTGGCTGGAGAAGAGCATGACGCTGAGGGGCTGCGGAGTGAACCGGAAACCCACACCTCCCTCTGGACCCGAGTGGGGGAAGGAGGACCCTGCCTGCAGCCCAGCCACAGGGACCCGAGCACACCTGGTGGCGGGTCTGTGCCTGACTTCAGAGTAAGCGTGGCCGTCATGCCACACCCCGAGCACCCCCGGACCCCTTCTGGGGCCTCACGGTCCCTTCTGCACATCAGTAGACGAATCCACTCGCCCTCTAAGGGGCGCCCCCTCCACGACTCCTAAGGGGTGGGTGCCCCTTTGCTTCAATGCCCGCTGGCCGTGCCTCTGATGGACCTCGTGGTCCCACCTGGGGCAAAGGTGCTGGGTCTGCAGGTGGCTGTCCCCCTCGGGCCCTCTGTCTTAGCCACTGATAGTGGTTTCCGAGGGCTGTCATGACAAAGTGGCCCAGACCGGGCGGCTTAGCAGCAGACATGGGTCAGTGGCAGCTCCTCAGTTCATCTTTTTGAGGAAACTCCATACTGTTTCCTGCAGCGGCTGCCCCAGCCTGCATTCCCGCCAGCAGTGCACGAGGGTAGTTCATGCTCCTGCCACGTTTCTGCTTGTGTTTGTGAGAAGTAGGGTCTCCAGCACTTCCTGCTTTCTCACACGGCACCTGGAATCCCCAGGCTCTTATCTGAGCCGCACAGTTTCTGGGCCCAGGGTTGGTGCTGCCTCCTCGCTCCTGAAAACTCCTAACCAGAGTGAGTGACAGGGTGCTGCCTGCCGGGACCAAGAACTGTTCTTTTTTTAAAGATTTTTTTATTGCTTTTTAGAGAAAAAAGAAGGGAGAGAAAGGTCAATGTGAAAGTGAAACATCAGCCCTGACTGGTTTGGCTCAGTGGATAGAGTGTCGGCCTGCAGACTGAGGGGTCCCAGGTTCGATTCCGGTCAAGGGCATGTACCTTGGTTGCAGGCACATCCCCAGTGGGAGGTGTGCAGGAGGCAGCTGATCGATGTTTCTCTCTCATTGATGTTTCTAACTATCTCTCTCCCTTCCTTTCTGTAAAAAATCAATAAAATATATTTTTAAAAAAAGAAAGTAAAACATCAATCAGCTGCCTCCTGCACACCCCCAACTGGGGACAGAGCTCAAAACCCAGGCACGTGTCCTGACGGGCAACACTTGCGGCTCAGGACGACGCCCACCACTGAGCCACAGAGGCCAGGGCTGTGTTTTTGTTTCTTTTCTGAAGAACAGGAATCGGGGTATTTTTCAATGTCCCTCCTTATGTGTTTCTGAGTTTTACATGTTCCTCAATGAGTATTTCACAACAAAGACAAAACGAACTGAGGCAAGGTCTTGGTTTGTGTTTAAGAGACAAAAATTCAGCTGTTCCTGAAACTGGATTATTCGAGTCGTTCTAGCAAATCCCAGTTACCAGAAACGCTCCGTGCTCCCTTTCCAGTCAGACATCTGGACACCGGGTGTCCCGCCAGCATTTCCCAAGCCGGGGGCGGAGCCCCCTGCAGGATGAGTGAGCACCGGCGCCCGCGGCTGCACCACACACGGCACTCAGCTCTCCGAGGCAGGTAATCCACGGCGCCAAGCTACTGGGCGCCACGGAACCCACTTCCCCGGGTGGTTCTAGGTTCGGCCTGGAGCCGTGGACTGTGTGCAGGAGGGGCCAGGAGGAGTGTGGCAGCGCCGGGCGGGCCTGGCTGCTGAGGACAGGCCTCGGTCTGGGCCTGAGCCGGACACCTGCCAAGGGGTGGACGCGCCACGAGGGGTCTAGAGTCACTTCTGCCCCTGGCACTGGGCTTCTGCTTGGAGTCAGCTGTGCCCCCCACAGAGCTGTGCATCCTCCCCCGGGTGAGGACTCCCCGAGGGGCCCGGGGTGCTCCCCTCGCCGGGTGCAGGGGCAGCTCTCAGGGTGGTGCAGACAGAACGATTGCAATGCACCCTGGGCAGAGGCCACAGGGACTCCATGGGGGCTGTCCCTGGGCGCCAGCCATTCCCCCACCTCCCACCCCACCTCCAGCCAAAGCAGACAGGCAGGCTGCTTAGAGACAGGGCCGGCCGCCAACTCGCCCAAACAGTAAGCTTTTTTTCTCCAGAAGCAATGTTTTTGGGGAAAAGTTCAACTATTTTTCAAAGAAATGGTTACATAAGCAGAGAGTACACAGGGGGCAATTGAACTGCCTCTGTTCCGGGCTGGTCCAAAGGTGATGCCACTGTTTGGGATGGTCATCAGCTCAGCTCCGTCTCCCCCCCCTCCCCCTTCCTCTTCCTCCTCTTCTTCCTCCTCCTCCTCTTCCTCCTCTTGCCCTCTCTGCCACCAGCCCAGCTGCCCTGTCCCCTCGGGGCTCGGGGCTGAGTGGGCGGAGGAAGGTGATTGGCCCTGTTTGCTGCAGCAACTGGCTCTGAAATCTGTGTCTCTCTGTTTCCCCTTATTATTATTCTCTCTAATATGTTTTTATTGCTTTCAGAGAGGAAGGGAGAGGGAGAGAGCGATGGAAACATCAGTGAGGAGAGAGGATCATGGGTCGCTGCCTCCTGCAGGCCCCACAGTGGGGATCGAGCCTGCAACCTGGGCCTGTGCCCTGGCCGGGAACCGAGCTGTGACCTCCTGGTGCCTGGGCCGATGCTCACCCACTGAGCCACACCGGCCGGCCGGGCCAGTGTCTGCATGAGCCCTGACTGCGCCCAGGCACTGCAGTCAGCACCTGCCAGCGCGTCATCGAGAGGCCGGGAGCAGCGGTGTGGTCGCTGACTCGCCTGGCGCCCCTTCCTGGGGCCCTACTTGGGGGTGGACAGGGGACACACGCCAAGCAACTGCGTGCTTCCGATCCCCTCTGGCTGGTGTCCGCACGCGGGGAGGATGCACCTTGTGCCCATCACGAGCTCCCCACCTGGGAGCCAGGCAGACCCAGCTCTTGCCTCCGCTCTGCCCTGTCCTTGCTGTGCGGCCTGGGCAAGTCCCTTCACCTCTCTGTGCCGTTTCTCCCCTGGGGAAAATGGCCACAATTTCAGTGCTAACCTACAAATGTGAGAGCACAGAGCATAATTACGTATGGCGGGTGCCTAGGAGGTTGCCACTCTGGGAGGCCACAAAGCTAGCTGGGGGGGTGGGGGCAGAAAGCAGGCCATGTGGGGGCCCTGGGAGGTGGTCCGGGCCCCCCTGGCCCGCTGAGACTTAGAGCAGCTTCGCTTTTCAGAGTTGAGGGCAGAAGGGATGTCAGTCCTCCTGGTGCTGGGGCTCCTGGCGGCTGGGCTCGGCCCCACTGCCCACGGCCTCCCAGGGGACACGCCGGACCAGAAGGTGACCCCGGGCAACGAGACGCCGGTGGACAGCCTCCGACTGGCCTCCAGCAACGCCGACTTTGCCTTCAGCCTCTACAGGCAGTTGGCTCGGAAGAACCCCGATAAGAATGTGCTCTTCTCCCCGAAGAGCATCTCCACCGCGTTAGCCTTCCTGTCCCTGGGGGCCCGCGGCCGCACCCTGATGGAAATCCACAAGGGCCTCAAGGTCAACCTCACGGAGACCTAGGGGACGGAAATCCACCAGGGCTTCCAGCGCCTGCTGCGCGCCCTGGGCGGGTCCCCGCGACAAACTGCTACTGAGCTAGGGCAACGGCCTTGTTCGGACAGTGAGTAGTTTGAAAGCTGGTGAACGTGTCAGGGCCCACGTCCAATACGCTGTACGGCGGCCGAGGCGCTCTCCCTCGGAGTGTCGGAAGCCCCCGGGGAG